TGATGAGGAAGGGGAGTCGGTTTCCCGACGTGATGCTCGGAGGTTACGTTCGTTGTGGTTGATGTTATCCCTTCCTCCGTGTTCTCCCGTAGCTACACAGCGGTTTACGACCGCCGGCGCCGTCACCAAGGGCTCGTCACGACTGGGATGCATCCGATCAGCTCTTGCCATCAGGAGGAAAAGGTCGGCACCGGTGAAGGCTCATTCGCACATGCTCCATCGTGACGCTGCTGTTCTGCCTCCGCTCTCCGAGCATGTTCGTGTGGGTGTGTGTTTCTCGGCTGGGAATCAAAAGAACTGCCACCACCACCATAAGGTGGTGGCTGTTATTGCATGATGTTGCTATCGCCGCCGCTGCTACCGTCGTTTTGTACTTCCGTCGTAGCCAACCACCACCAGGAGGGTGGCCGGATTCTCTTGCAAGAAGTTATCGTGGGTGTGTGCATTTCTATTGCGTATGAGTGGTGTGTGTAACTTGGTCGGAAAACGAGAATAGCTATCGCCACCATGCACCACCATGTTTATGTGTGTGTGTTTAGTAGGTGTTTGTGTTTATTGTAGATTTAGCATTGTAAAGTGTAATTACAAATTGGAATAATGAAAGGAAAACTGAAAACCACCACCGTGAGGTAGTGGCTGCCGCCTCCTGCCACCGGCCGCCGTGTCGAATGGCGGTGTGCTTTGATGGTGTTTTGACTCGTTTGGATGTTTGGACAAGGGACTAAGAAACCCTAATGGGCCCAATGAGGCTTAATGAGCTTAATAAACCCTAATGGGCCCAATGAAGCTTAATGGACCTAAAAGCCCAAACAGATGACTAATGGGCCTAGTGAAACCTTAATGAGTCTAATGAACCTTAATTGATCAAAAGACATGTCAATTGGGCCTATTGGGCTAATATGGGGTTGGAAACCCTATTTAGGGTTTAGAAAACCCTAATATTGGATTTATGGGCTTGGACTTATTGGGGCCCACTTTTGGGCCATTGGAATGGAATTGTGTGATTAAGCCCAATCACACCATATGACTTGTTTAGAAGAATGATGGACTTAATGGATTAAGTGCTTAATGGATTAAGTCCTTAATGGGTTAAGTAGGAACACTTAACCCTAATCGTCATTTTATGTGAAACCCTAATTTCACTTGGGTTTATTGTTGGGCCTCTTTATTGTGCCTTGATGATTGGGTTATTAGTGGGCCATCCAAAGTCAAGAAATTAGACTAGAATAATTTAATGGGCCTAGGGTAAGGCCCATGTAAGGGGTTTGGACCCAATTTGGAAAATTGGGCCATAGATGGGCCATAGTTTGGGCCTTTATGATTATGTTATATCAGGCCATTAGAATATCGAATGTTGGACTGGACTAAATGGTTGGGCCTTATGGTAAGACCTTATAAAGGTTTGGGACCAATTTGGAAAATTGGGCCATATGTTGGGCTTTGACTCATAGTTGACTTTTGGGCCTATGGATTGGGCCTTGGGCTTGCATAAAGCCAAGCTTGGGGTAATGTAGTAATTATCCAAAGTATGTACTCATGGTTATGTAGTGGAACCCAATTATTAATTGGGTGTTATTTTGGTGTTGGCAGTTCGGGAATCTGTCATCCAGCAGCTGGGGTTGGGTCTGCTGGACTTCAGCAGTGTGGGATTGTGTCTACGAGACTTCAGCAGTGTGAGGTGAGTTACCTTCCAATAGAAGTGGGTCTACGGCCACAATGCCGGCCCACTAGTAGGAGATATATGTTAGATGTTTGTCTTTGTGATATTCATCTAGGTTTGCTGCTACCTTTTATGTTTTATGTGCTATCATGGTATGATATATGTGATATGATATTATGTGGTATTAATAGGGGGTGAAATAGTCCTCGGTTACCGGTCGATAGGACCGAAGGGGTAGATTAGTACCCAGCTATGCTAGACATATTATGATATACGTAATATGATATTATGTGGTAGTAGTAGGGGGTGAAATAGTCCCCAGTTACCGGTCGAGAGGACCGAAGGGGTAGGCCAGCACCCAGATATACTAGGCAAGGTCACCAGTCGAGAGGACCGAAGGGGTAGGCCAGCACCCAGATATGCTAGGCAAGGTCACCGGTCGAGAGGACCGAAGGGGTAGGTCGGGCACCCAGATATGCCTGGCAGTATGTATGTCATGTGATTGTATGGTATGTGGTATGATGGGGGAACTCACTAAGCTTTGTGCTTACGGTTTACAGTTTTGGTTTCAGGTACTCGTTTTCAAAGGAAAGGAGACGGCTTGATCGCAGCGCATCACACCATGTTTTCCGCACATGAGATCTTTGGGATTACACTCTGATATGGTTTTATGATAATATGTTTTGATTATTGACACTTTGGTTTTGACATGAGATATTAATATGAATGTTTTTATACTGATGGTTTTATATAATTACTTAATTATAACGAAATTTTTGGTCTTGAATTTTGGGATGTTACAGATTGTGTTTTGATAATTTGACACTTTGGGGTTTTGTGAAATGTGTTAATGAGAATTATGTGATCTTAAAATGAAAATTTTGTTTGAAAATTTACGATGTTACAATTATTAATATATTATATGATTAATATATTTATTATAAAAAGTAATAATTAATTTAGAATTAATCAGAAACTAATTAGAATTAATTTTGGGATTAATTATAATTGTTCAATAGTTGAACAAAAGAGGGATTCTAGAATCCTTCTTGCATGGACGGTTTTGGCTTGTGCATTATGGTTTCTAGAATGCTTCTTATTGATAATTAAGGAGTTGGATAATTACCATATTTGAGATATTGTTATTATACTCAAATTAGGGTTATCCAAAGATTCTTTATCAGCTACAAATAAGACCCATTGGGTTCATATTTTCGTCCACTTCTTTTACTCCTCCTATAGCCGAAATTTTGCTACTCTATCCTCTCTCTACTTGTGTTATTGTTTCTAGGGTTTGGGTAAAAACCATTAGAGGCATCATCTCTTTGGTGCTAGTCTTTCCAAGCTTCACAACTACAAGGATTGGCGTGATTTGTTTGCAATAACAAATCAAAAGGTATGTAGTCTTAACCTTGCAATTTTCAAATTACACTAGGGTTAAGGTAGCTTAGTTGTTCATTGTATGTTGCTATCAAGGTGTATGACATAGATACTTTATAGGATGCATGTACCCTATTAATTGTTTGTCGTTTTCCGCATCGTACAATTTTGTTTTCTATAAAACCCAACATGTACTTTGGTTTTTTGTCCCTGGTTTAAAAATAACAATATACTTTGGCATCAATAAATGCATCTTGATTTCCTAATTATGTTTGTAATTGTGTTTTTGTCGCAAGTGCAAGAAATATCAATGTATTTTTGGTATTTCTTGTATTTATGTGCAAAAAATAGCAATATACCTGGGTAGTTTTTGTTTATATTTGATAGTTTAACTTATAAGTTTATATATGTTGTTATTTATTATATAATTGTAAAATCTTCAGGCAATGCTCAACGACCCAGCATGTAGGGAGGAACTTTATGTGTTTTTACAATCGGGGCAAGATCAAGGAAGAGACGAGGGGAACGAAGATGGGGGTTCGTTGGATAATTTGTTTATGTTTTGTATGTTAGACTTATTGTGACATTTTGGTACTTGTTGGAATTATAACACTTTGGTTTTTTATTTTGGTAAGCAATTATAACACTATTTGGTACTTAATCGGATGTCATGTAATTTTTTTTTTCTGCATTTAATGTCGGTACGTGTCGGTTTTTTTGCACCCAAAAGTATTGATTTAAAAATAATAAAAAATAAAAAAGAAAAACGTTATTACCGGCAACAAGGTTATTAGCAACGGCAGTGGGTATCAACGACGACAAGAGCATTAGCGGCGAAAAATATTTTTACTAGCGATAGTTAGAGCAATAACCGGAGAAGTACCTACGACTTTTTACCGACGACATTTCTAACATTTACCGGCAAATTTTGTCGTCGCTAATTTTTTTTTCTTGAATAAAAATTCTAAAGGAGGAGTTTGATTTTTGTTGTAGACACATCACCGGAAAATTGCAATTTTGCCTTTATACCAGAGTAATTTATTTTGTGAATGTTTTCCTACATGCGAATAAAAATGAAAACTTTGTCGCATCTCTTCTCTTGAATCCATGGTAGATTGCTGGAGCCATCTGCTGAGGAACCAAACAAATGTGGAATAAATTCACAGGAAGTGCTTCTGATATTGACGGCTTTGAGCGATAAGGCCAAGAAGCGATGGACGGTGGGTTTTGGATGGACACCTGACAACTCAAACGAAATGGTCCTCCCAAGAAAAAAAATTACTAAAATTCGTAATGTATTAATTAAAAAGTAATTGTAATTATATCTGAACTACTGTTTTTTAGTAAATAAATATCAAAGTACAACGTTTTTGGTAATTCATTTTTGTCAACTACCATGCTCTCGTAGAAAACTAATCTTGTATATAAGGTTGCTATACATAAATATCGATCTAATTAGTAGGGGGACTTTTTTTTTTGTTGAAAAACAAAAGAAAAAAAACTGACGATTTTGTCATTCTATCCTTACTCTTTTACACATGCATGGCATATATAAAGTAGATTAGGTTAAGTTGTAGACAGTTTAAAGAGTTATTTTACAGCACATAACTCTAAGAACATAACGACAAAGAGAATATATTAAATGAGAAATTAAATATCCTCCTATTTTTTGTTCCTACATATCCTTCTACCCAATAAATTGGTTACTTGTGTAACATTTAATGCTCATTTAATGAAATTTAATGATATTTTAGGATAGTAATATGACACATGTCATCAATTAAATGGGTAGAAGGATTGGTATGAACAAAAGGTAGGAGGATATTTAATTTCTCTATATGAATTTATTATAGTTCCTTGCTTTTTAAACAATGCAATTTCGAATATGACGAAAAGCTGGAATAAGGTACGTACTATAGACCTGAAGAACCAAATACATGTTGATCCTAAGTGGTACACTTTAGGAGTCCCCGCAATTGAGATCATAAGGGGCTGCAATCAGTTGCAAGCTCGTCTTTCTCCCAACGGAAGCACCAAATTTCTCCTTCATATCTAAATCTGTAATATTCATCCCATTAGGGAGTTTCCAGTTGAAATGATAGAGTAAGCTTGCAAGAAGAAGCTCAACATTAGCGACACCAAATAAAATTCCTGGACAGATTCTCCTTCCTGCTCCGAATGGTAGATACTCCATGTTGCTTCCCTTGAAATCATAACAATTGTCTTCGAATCTTTCAGGTAAAAAACAGTCAGCATCATGCCAATACTCAGGATCCCTTGCAAGAGCCCATGCATTAACAATCACTTTCGTCTTCAACGGTATCACATATCCATCAATCTCGCAACTTTCCCGACATTCTCTAGGAAGCAACAGGGGAAGTGATGGATGTAATCTCATCGTCTCTTTGATCACTAATTTTAGATACTTCAATTCTTGAATATCTGCTTCACGTACTTCTTTCTTTCCATTTAGCACTGCTCTAACTTCAGTTTGTGCCTTTTTCATCACTCTCGGGTTTCTTACAAGTTCTGACATGACCCACTCCATTGTTGTTGAAGACGTATCTGTTCCAGCTGAAAAACATCCTGCATACAAACCAGCCAAACTTCAGTTCTTCAGGACACGTTTTAGAGTGAAGACAAGAAGTCATTACACATGAAAAACACAAATTATTGAGTCTATCTAAATGCGTGTCGTGTATACTAACCACTACCAACGCTTTGATATGGTCGGTTGTGAATGGAAACTCAAGCTCCCCACTGTTTTTAAGTCTGAACAGAATATCAAGAAAAATCTTCATCTTCCCTGCCAGTTTTACATCCATCTGTATGTTCTGGTTTCTTCTTGTGGTCATCGAGGATTCTGTTTAGGGTCATATCTAGGTTTCGATGAAGGGTTTTTAACTTGGACCCCATACTGGTAAAAACATGAAGAAACTTATACGAAGGAAACAAATCGACTATATCAAAAGCTCCAGCCAGAACGGCAAGTTCTTGTACACACTCAATCAATAGATCCTGCTCCTTATAGATCGTACCGAATGCAGCTCTTGATGTTACAGTATTCATGAACGTGAAAAAATGTTTGGAAAGATCTACAGGAGATCCTGCAGTTGAAAGAATATGGTTCATTAGAGCACCGACCTCTTCCTCCCGAATTGACGAAAATGACTGGACTTTCTTGGCAGTGAGGAGTTCCAAGGAGCAAATCTTGCGCATCTGCCTCCAGTGATTGCCATAGGGTGAAAATGCGATGTCTGAGGAGTTGTACAACACGGTCTTGGAGACTAGCAGTTCAGGTCTGCTGGCAAAGGAGAGATCGTGCTTTACGAGTATCTCTTCAGCTATTTGAGGAGACGAAACAACTAAATAAGATATCTCTCCGAGTTGAAGATGCATCAAGCGACCATGTTTTCTTGCCAGATTTCTAAGAACTTGATGTGGTAGTTGTGAACTAACCATCGATAACATGTTTCCGATGAAAGGCAGCTTCCATGGACCTGGCGGCAATTTGCTACCCACCTTCCCTGAGCTAGATCTCTTGATTAACTTAACTAGAATGAACAAAAAAAAGAAAGTCACTAGGAGGCTCATCCAGATAGACATGCTTTGCAATGGTAATGCTTGCCAATTCTTTTAGAAGAACAACCAATAGTTATAGACATATGAGAAACCATTTTTTGACATTTTGCGATATCTTGCTGTTCTTGTCATCTGGCATCATGTAATAGATTTGCATTATTGATCATGGAGTTTAGAAATGCAAGGATCTCGTAGTTCGATGGACCAATATATAATACGTAAATGACTTTGGGACCTATCTCTTTCCCTGTCAAGCTTCTCGGAACTTGACTCCACATTGGGATACATAGTTTCTTAAGATGCCATAAATATCATTTCCGTTCCTTCTTGAGTTTCATGGCTTGCTGAAGTGGTAAATTTTAGAAGAAAACGGAGGGATAACGTGAAAGTGATATTGTTGTTAAAAAAAAACATGAAAGTAATACTAAAATGATCCTTATGTTACAGTGGAAAGTAGAGTAAATCTCTACATAAATTGTCATTGAGGTTTTGGTAATCTGCAACTTTTGTCTCTTATCTATTTTTTTTTATTCAACGTTATCTTTCTGTTGCAACTTTTGTCCCTTTTAGGCTTTTACATCAGAGAATTTTGGAAGCCACCACATGATTTCAAAGCAATATGGGCATAGATAACTAGCGACGAACACATTATCGCCGGTATGGACGTGGGCACGTCGCTTCCACTGTTAGTTTTTTATTTTCTTTTTTCTTCTTTTTTTTTTTAAATATTTTCACATGTACATGTCAAAAATCTAAAACCGAAAAAAAAAATTACATGCAAAACAAATGAATCACTAGATGAATCAAAAATAACATGATTCATAAAAAAAAAATTCTCAAAAAAACATCTTGATAATTTATACAATGATTTTGTTGTTATTCATTAAAATTGTCATAAAAATGAATTTTTTCTTAATTTACTTAAAAATAAATCGTAAATATGTTTTTTTGAAAATTTTTTCTTGTGAATCATCTAACTTTTGAATCATCTAATAATTCATTTTGTTTGTTCGCTAAAAAAATATATAGAAAAAAACTTCTTACCTTTCTAGCAAAAATTTCCTTCTTATTTGATCTTGACTATATATATATATATATATATATATATATAATATATATATATATATATATATTATATATATATATATATATATATATATATATAATGGTTTTCAGTTTGAAAGCTAAATAATTAAGAGGGGTGGAGGACTAGAGTGTGACTTGGAAACTAAGAATGCATTGAGAATTGGACATGTTGGTGAGTTAGAGAATATAGCAAGGCTTGGAAGAATATGTTTGATGGTTTTCACTTGTAGAACCCAGGAAAAATCAAGCTTGATGGCTGCCAAAAAACCAAAGAACAATGTCTGATGGTTGATGGTGTTCAACTCTAAAACAAAGAAAACCCAAGAACTATATCATGATGCTTGATAGTTACTCAAAAAAGCTAAAAACAATGATGGTGCTCAACTCTAAAATTAAGAAAACCCATAAATAAACCCAAAGAAATGAAGCCTGATGGAAACCGTAGAAAATGGTATGGTGGTGGATGGTGGCAAGGTTTTAGAACTCGTTACTCGGTACCTGTTCGGCCGACTACCGAGTAGCGAGTACTCGGGGAGTATTCAGATTGGGTAATTCATGTAGAAATATTTTAAGGGAAATTATATATGTCAAAATCATAAGTTAAAATCATAAGTTGATTGAAATATATAACAAAATTAGATATATGTGATTACACAAAAACTGAAAAACACATAATGGTCTCACTTCGTGTGTAATTAATGAAAATTTAAGATATATATGTAGTAATTGATGGGTTTTGAGCACTACATCAATCCTATGGTGTACATGCAAACCCTAATAGCTTTGGATCTAGTTTGTCTAATGAACATGCAATTGATAATCCAAAGCCATAAACCCTAGATCTAATAAACAATAACTGAAATCAGGGTTTAGATCTTACCTTTGATTGTTATATAGCAATAACAATCAATCCTTGACTTCATAAAGCTTAGTGCCTCAAGTGTTGCACCTCTAATGGAGTCACAAACACCACTAAGCAACTTGGATGAAGAGGGAGGAGAGATGAGGCACCAAAAACGGCTGGAAACCCTAAAGGAAGTATTCACCACGTTTTTGGGGCCATAAGGGTTCCTTATATATGCTGGCTATTAGGGTTTACAGCTAGGAAACCCTAATCTGACTGCTTAAGCCCTAAGCAGCCCATGGACTCCCTCTTTAGAAGCCTTGGACGATTTCTAATGGGTTTCCCCATAGAATTCGTCCACTCCAACTTCTATGGAGTCCATTAGCCCATCTATGTAATTATCTTATAATTACACAATAAGTCCCTTAAGTTTAATTAATCTATTTTAGCCACAAAATTAATTCTTAATTAATTCTTGATTAGTATTAATTAAGCAATATGATTTCTCCTTTAATATATTATTCTCATAATATATTAATAAATCATAATTAAACCTTTATCTCCTTAATTAATCCTACATATTGCTATGGTGAAGGCAACCCAAAAGGACCATGTTCACAATCGAGTCAAGTACATACCAAAATAGTTATGGACTTAGACACTAATCCAACAGTCTCCCACTTGGATAAGTCTAATAACTATTTTTCATAACTTCAGAACCTGATCAGCAATCGTAGCTTTCAAAAGCCGCTGTCAACTCTGATCTTATCAGATACGCGTGTCCTTTAGATAAGGGATCATATATTCCTCCATTCTCAAGATATCGTATAGACACAAGACATGAATTTTGATCATTCTCTCTATACTGTTTCCCGACTTCTGATTTATGACGACTGACAACAGACTACAATTGAACACATCAACTTAGTCCTGGCTTGGCCAAGCGCTTACGGTGTCATCACAAAATCATCGAGGGGCCCATAGATATCGCTTTTATCCCACTTTGGGTAAAAGGAATGGATAAACTTTGACTCAAATGCTTGCTTGCACCTACTAATTGAATCACACACAACAATAAGTTTTATAACACCAAGTTACTGGTGCGTTTACTTATCATCAATGTGCAACCGACCAGCAAATAACAACTCACACGTCTCGGTTTCAAGAATATACAATATTATCGTCTCACAATCACTCGTGATAAAATCCATGAAGTGATTCAGGTGAGCATGGGCTTAATCCAATACTCTAATCTTATTAAAGCACTCATGAACTCTGCAGCAAACTTGTTCTATGTCTAAACTCTTTAGACAATCTACAGACTCTTCATGACAGTCTTGCTTCATACCTACTTCCAACGTATGACCGACTGTGGATGTTTGAATAACCTAGTTATTCTGGAAGTCAAAACATGCAGAGTGAAACACAATAATAATACTTAATCCTATATGGTCCCAAAACTTTTGAGCGTAAATAAAACACCTTTTTATTTAAACACCATATTGATTACTCATTATTCATTGTTTACTGTTTCAGAAAATCAACTTATTACTTGAATTACAACAATAATTGTCCCATGCTCCAAGCATGCACACTTTGTTTCCTATGGTCCATGCTTTGTGAAATAGATTAATTGAAAACTTTTCCAACGATGCTCATTTCACAATTCCTAATCCTTATTATTAGTGTAAGAATACCAAATTCTTGCACTTTTAGAATATGTCAGATTCTAACATTTTATGCAACGGTTCTTTCGTAAAGTCATAGCACAAAAGTCACCAAGACTTGGCCAATGAAATTACAAGGTCTCTATCAGAAATTGTTACAAACAATTCTATAGATGTGATGTCTCTCATTCAAAGTACATTCCTTTGAACATCCTTTTGCATAAAATTTTCTAATCTAGACATAAAATTCTCAATTTCCAACTCCCAATATGGAAACATTTCCATATTTAACATATGACAACTCATTCTTAATAGAATCTTATCTATTCATAATAATGTCGATATGGTCCATCCAACACTATACTTCCAACTACTCACAAGCAACAAATCATTGGCGAACCTTAGATCGTCCTTTGATAGTTGTTTAATTATTTTAGCCAAAACCGTTCTAGTCCTTTTTCCCTCTTAATGCGCTAAGCATTTGGAAAATTTTAGAATGATCAATCATTATAGCATATGCAATCGATCCTATAACCGAAGCGTATGAGACACGATTCATAATGTCTTACATAAAGACGTGATACTTTACCAGTCTTTTGCTATAATATTTCTAATTGTCATGTTCTCACAATTTTGATTATGAAAAGGGATGCCGTAATCATAACCAAATTTTGAGAATGCAATTATCCTTTCCATATATAGAATTTCCTCATGTTGAACCATTCCAACACAACATTCATATATATTTGACTAAATTTGATTAAAATTCCACAATCTAAGCCTTTAGATTTGAAATGAAGTATAATATTCTATCACTTAATTATAGCAAAACAACTTTTCAACCCCTACAACTTTGCCAAGTGAATCTTTGTTTTCTATAATTAATATTGCTAACTTGCAATTCTTGAAATAATAATCATGCTCCCACTAACACGATGATTATAACCATACAAGCATAACACTTATGCTCCCACTAGCTTTGACATATATTCAGTAAACATCTGAACTTCCAGAAAACAATGCTTACTGAATTCCTTAAGTTCATATTTCTAAATACCTGATGCTTTGATAAGCCTTTATCTAAGCTTCTTAACCTCATACACCTTTGCCTTAGAAAGCTCACATGTGTGTCTAAAGAAATTAAGAACTTATGTTACTGAGTCCCAAATGTTCAGACCAATTGCCAAATCTCACAATTCGAACCATGAAAAGGGATGCCGTAATCATAATCGAATTTGAGAATGCAATTTACACAATCGCTATCTCCTTGAAATCTCTCTTAATTTTCATGAAGGAGAGAAACCTTATGACACATAGATTTTAAAGTGTATGTGTTCCTATCCATGTGAATTTGTCATAACAACAATCATAAGACAATGTTTGTGACAAATCCAACTCATATGGATTGAACTTGTTCAATCATGATT